TCTTTCCCCAGCCATTCCTGTTACTATGCAATGAGCTCATGAACAAAGTAGCCATGGTGGCAGGGTTATATGAGCTCAGCAACAGGAAATTGCACTCATCAAGGCTGACCTGGCTATGGCCACTGCTGAGTGCCCAATCTGCCCACAGCAGCACTGACCAACGATCAGCCCCTAATATGTTAACATCCCCCAGGGCAATTAGCCATCTACCTAGAGTCAATTGATAATACTGGACTACTTTTGTCATGGAAGGGACAGTATTTTTCCTTTATAAGAAAAGACATTCTAGATACAGATTTGTCTTCTCTGCATGCAGTGCTTCTGACAAAAGCACCAACCATGTACTTCCAGAATGATATTCCTTACAACCTTGCTTCTGAATAAGAAACTCACTTTATACCAAAATAAGGGAGGCAATGGGCCTGTGCTTGTGGAATTTACTGGTCATACCATGTTCCCCACCATCCTGAAGCAGCAGGCTTGCCAGAATGGTGGAATGGTCTTTTGAAGGATCAGTTATAGTGTTAGCTAGGTGGCAATACTATGCAGCCCTGAGGCAAGGTTATCTAGAATGATGCATATGCTCTGAATCAGCATCCAATTTATGATGATATTTCTCAGACAGCAAGGATTCATAGGTATAGAAATCAAAAGGTGGAAATGAGGGTAGCATCCTTCACCATTACCCTTAGGGACGCACTAACAAAATATTTGTTTCCTGTTATTGTGACTTTGTGCTCTGCTGGCCTAGAGATCTTCCTCCCAGAGGGAGCAATGCTTCCACGAGGAGACACAACAGTAATTCCATTGAACTGGAAATTAAGGCTACCACCAGCCACTTTTGACTCCTCATATTTTTGAAGTAATAGGCCAAGAAGGCAGGTGCAATGTTGGTTGGGACAATTAATCCCTACTACTAAAAGAAAAATGGACTACTGCTCCATGATTGGAGATAAGAAAGAGGATGACTAGAATACAGGAGATGCCTTAGGACATCATTTAGTATCACCATGCCCTGTGATTAGATCAATGGAAAACTACAACAACCCAATTCAGGCAGGACTACTAATGACCCAGAGTTTTCAAGACTGAAGGTTTGGATCATCCTACCAGGTAAAGAACCACACCAGCTGAGGGGCTTGCTGAAAGCAAAGGCAATGCAGAATGAGTAGTGGAAGAAAGAAGTTGTAAATACCAGCTACAATTATGTGATCAGTTACAAAAACAAGGATTGTTATTACCATGAATATTTCCTACTTATTTTCCTATGACTATATTTTTGTACATTTCAAATATCTTTGTTTTCTTCTCTCTTATTCTCTTATCATGTAACATAAGATGTATTGATTTTATAGTATTTAAGTATTATTAATTTTATATCATAGCATTTAGAAAGCATTTAAGTCACAAGATATCAAGAGTAAACATCACTTAAGAACTTTACCTCCTCCTTTGGGAAGAATAGTTAGTGCATTTTCAGTTGTATGCAGTTATACCATGTTAAACAGAATTGTAACCCTGTTATTATCTTTCCTTGGAGATTAAGTATGGACAAGGAGATGTACATGGGTGCTAAATTGACAAGGGATGGACTTGTGATGGTTAATTTTATGTGTCAACTTGATTAGGTCATGGGGTACACAGTTTTGTTTAAACATTATTTCTTGTTGTCTTTGTGAGGGTGTTTCCGTGTGAGATTAGCATTTGAATCTGTAGACTGAATAAAGCTGATTGTCCTTCCCTGTGTAGGTGGGATCCATCCAATTTTTTGAAGACCTGACTACAGCAAAAATGAAGAGGAAGGGAGAATTTGCTGTTTTTGATTGACTGCATAAGCTGGAACCTCAATCATTTTTGCCCTAAGACTGGGACTTACGTTGTCAGCACTCCTGGTTCTAAAGCCACAGTCTCAGACTAGAGATACATTGCTAGCTTTCTTGCTTCTCCAGTTTGCAGATGGCAGACTATGGGACTTCTAAGCTTCCATAATCACATGAGCTAATTCTTCATAAATTCTCTCTCAATATATACACAAAACATATGTAGTGTATTCTATAATTCTATTGGTTCTTTTTCTCTAGGATCTCTGTTATACATGACTAATTCCTTGTGTTTCAGAGCTCAAATGGAATTTCCTCAGAGAAGACTTTCCTATTACTTTCTATCATGGGAGCTGCAAAACAATGCCTCAGGGGTCCAGAGCAGCAGCTCTCAGCCTGTGGGTCATGACCCACAGGAACTGTATTAAAAGGTTATGGCATTAGGAGGGTTGAGAACCACTGGTCCAGAGGATAGTGTGTAGTGAATGAGACAGCTGTTAGGGATTGTGTGGAATCTGAGAATTCCTGCTCTCACTAAGGTGGGCTGCCACTACTCAGTTCCAGCTAATTTTTGCCACGTGAAAATACAGAATAAATGCTTCCAGACTGTCTGAGTTATCAAGAAAAGCCATAAAAATCTCATTTTTATGTAGAAACATCTTGTAAAACTACTAATAAATGCCAAGTTTTAAAAGTTATATTGGAAATCAAACAAAATATATCTCAGCCTAATTCATCCTATATACCTCTAGTTTGTAACCTCTGATTTATCACATCATTCTGTTTACATAATTTTCTGTCTATTTCCTTTCATCAGAATTTAAACTTCATAAGGGACTTTGCCTGTCTATTAAATTCTGTGTTCCCAATGTTTGGAACAGTGGCTCATACACAGAAGTCACTTTTTAAAAATTAGTCATTAGAGAAATTCTGAAACATACACTAAAAGTAGAGATAATGGTATTAGTAACCTCATGTACCATTATTCAGCTTCAAAAATTATCAACACAGTGCCATTTTGCTTTATGTATTTCTTCCACTGACTTTCTACTTGAAAATTTTAAAGCACATCCCAAACACTGTCACTTCAAACTATAAATATTTCAGTATGCATGAACACTTTAAAAAATCATAACCATTATTCTATTACTGTTCTAACAAAATTTACAGTAAAATGTAATACTAAGACCACATTGAAATTTTTCTAATTGTCATATGATATCTTAATGAATACTTGTTGAATAAATAAATTATGGAACAAATGAAAATAAGCATCTGACAGTTTATTTTAGAAAACCTTGAAACATGATTTTCCTTATTAGAAACATTAAGATTACTTGTCAGAAGACACTTTGTTTTCAAATTTTAAAAGGTGGAGAATGGGTCCAGCAAGTATTGTTCTCTGCTGAGGTCCTGCCCCAGGGGCAGGGTCTGTTAAGACCTATGGATCTAACAGCAACTGACTGAAGAAATATAGTTAGAAATGATGAGAAAGAAAGAGACAAGACACACAGAATAGAATTTTCAAGGGAAACTCAGGGGATCGTCGTCCACTTTTGGGGATCCTGAGGTGACCTGAGTGTCAATTCCACTCAGCTTTTTTTGAAGGCTATTTGCTCATTAGCCCAAAAGGTAAGTTGAGGAAGAGTACAAAGATGCCAGCAGTTTCTCTGAGTGAGCATATCAGCTTCTATTGTTTCTATAATCATTGATTTTAAGGGTCTGAGCAGCCTTGAGAAATCCAGAACCTGAGCCTTGTGTGGAGGCAGCCTCCTGTCTGAGGTCACACACACAGATTCTTATGGGGATGTTAATCTCCACTACTTCACTGTGTAGTGAAACACCACTGGTGTCAATCTCCTCTGAAGAATCTGTAGGCGAGAGAAATTTTCCTCTCATCACCACCACAGAGGGTCTTCCTCTGGGATAAGGGACATATGCCCTCCTGCCCATACTTCAAGGCTTGCACTGTTCCCTTGATCTCTGCACCAGCCAAATACAAATCTCCACAATGGGTATTTGCTTTGTCTGTTTACTGGGTAGGAAATGGCCTTGTTAATGTATCTTTCCAAGCCCTTGCCACAGCAACTTCTGTGGCCCTTATTCCTCAGAGTGTTTACAGATCCAACAGGGGTATTAGTAACCTGTATCCCCAATAGGCCAGAGCTCTAGGAAAATCAGGAAACTTGCTCAGATAAGAAATTTAGCAGTGGCTGGTTTAAAGTTGAACTAGCTGACTTTCTTTTGTTCTGACTCACTCAGCTTACTTTTTAATTTCCCACTTTTTCTGGGGGTATTTTTCCCTGGACAAGAATAGTCTTTGGTCCTCATTCTGCCTGTACTATTCTAGTCAAGCAGATGAAATCTCAGAATAAAATTACATAGTGGATATTTTCCTAAAAAAAATGAAGATGTGTCTTCTCACAAATAATTGTACGGGAATGTTCATGGCAGATTGATTCATAATAACTAAGCACTGGAAACAAACCAAACGTGTATCAACAAGGTATGGATAAACAAACTATGATATAGTCATACAATTTAATATTACTCAGAAATAAAAGAAACAGAATACACAACAATATGCATGAATATAAAAAATATTACGTTGAATAAAAGAAGCCAGACATAAGAGTACGTACTATATGATTCCTATTATACAAAATTCCAGAATAGGCAAAACTAATCTATAGTAGAAAACAATCAGAATAGTGATTGTCTATGGGGGATGAGATAGGGTGGTATGAGATTGATTGGAAAGGGGGCATAATAGAAGTTTCTGGGGTGATGGTAATGCTTATAGGGGTTTTAATTACACAGGTGTGTATATTTCTCAACACACTTTAAATTATATGCTTAAGATTTGTATATGTTTTGTATGTAAATTTTACTAAAAAAGAATGATCAAATATTTAAGTCGATATTTACTGATATCAGCTATTTATTTGCAATGCATCAGATAAATAAGATGAATTGATAGAAGCTGAATATAAGGATGGATAGGTGGATACATATGGATAAAACAATATATTAATAGTAAAATAGTAGAATCCATATTGGGTATATAGCTGTTTGGTATATAATTCCTCTAACTTTAATATGTTTGAAAATTTATATAATAAAATATTGAGGAAAAAAAAAACTCCATAGCAATTTCCAGAAGATGGGAGAAAGAAAGTGTTAGTTTGACAGTGTATGTGACTTAGCCTTTCTGACATTTTTGCTGAGTGGCCCCTCTAGATGACTTTGGATGAACTGACCTCCACTCCCAGTTCTTGTATAAATTGGTAGCTTCTTGGCCATATCCACAAGCATCTGCTTCTGAACCTCAGGCCTCTCTTCATTTTCATAGCGCTCTTTGTCTGTATAGGACAAGTAGAACTGGAAACAAAAGTGGTAGGTAAGACTTTATTATCCAAGGTTCACAGAAGAAATTAAAAACAACAATAATAACTGCTTAAATGAAAATATTCATAACATACCCTTGAAGCCCAGGCACCAATTTGGCTTATAACTCTTTCTGGCTAATTATCTCAATAATCTTATCTGGCTTTAATCTTCATAATTGTATGATGTGAGTATATTGTTTTACAAATAAAGAAAATGAAGCATACAGAGATTAAGTACCTTGCTGAAGGTACTTAATTAAGTAGCAATTCTGGGTCCCAAACCTAACTCATTTGACTTTAAGACTTCTGCTCTTCCCATTAACTATAACATGATGTTGTATACAGATGTGTGACACATTGTTGCTAGGATCTTGTTGATTAACCATGCTTAAAAAGTTACAAGTGTTTTTAATAGACAACACTGATAAGAAGCTAAATGAGATAGTTTGCAACATTCTGTGCATATTCTAATCTTGCAAATGAGTAGATATTGGGATATTCTCACTATCTGAGAACTTTTTTGTCTGGTATGGACCTTGTCACCTATTAGTGCCACCCTTCACTAATCTTGCCAGAGATATGCCAGCTCTATGAAACTAAATTTCTTCATCTGTAAAATAGAGGACATAATACCAACTTCATAAAATTGGGACAGAAGTTCTGGATAATAAGTAATGGAGAGACTCCTTTAGAATTTTCATTTATTGGATCATTTAAAAACATTTGACATATTGTGATTTTGAAAAAATTTAAACTCTTCTAGCTGGTGTGTGGTGGTATTTCATTGTGATTTTATTTAGCACTCCTCGGATTACTAATGATACTGAGTACCTTTTCACGAGCCATTTGGATATCCTTTTGTGAAATGTCTATTTGAGACTTTTGTCCATTAAAAAAGAACTGGGTTGTCTTTATCTTTGAATTCTTTATATATTTTGGATACCAGTCTTTTCTTGAATATTTTCTATCAGTCTGTGGCTTTATTTTCAATTTATTTTGTGGTGCCTTTTGAGGGATAGAAGATCTTAGTGGGATTAAAGGTGTGAGGCACCACACTTAGCCTAATCCTTAGTAAAATTGTAATAAAATATACATAACATAAAACGTAACCATTGTAACCATTTTTTTAAGTATATAGCTCAGTGGCATTAAATTCATTCTCATTGTTGCATAGCCATCACTACTGTCTATCTCCACTAATTTTTTCAACTTATAAAACTGAAATTCTATACTCTAAACTGTAACTACTCCTTTCCTCCTCTTCCTAGCTCCTATCAAAGACCATTATACTTTCTGTTTTTGTGAATTTGACCATTCTTTATTATTTTTTTTTTGAGACAGAGCCTCAAGCTGTCCCCCTGGGTAGAGTGCTCTGGCATCACAGCTCACAGCAACCTCCAGCTCCTGGGCTCAAGCAAGTCTCCTGCCTCTGCCTCCTAAGTAGCTGGGACCACAGGTACCCACCACAACGCCCAGCTAATTTTTGGTTGCAGCCGTCATTGTTGTTTGGCGGGCCCAGGCTGGATTCGAACCCGCCACCTTGGGTGTATGTGGCTGGCGCCTTAGCCACTTGAGCCACAGGCACCGAGCCTGAATTTGACCATTCTAGGTACCTTGTACAAGCAGAATCATTCAGTATTATGTCTTTTTTTTCTTTTTTAAGAAACAAGTTTTCACTCTCTTGCCTAGGCTGCAGTACAGTGGGCATGATCACATCTCACTGTAACCTCAAACTCCTGGGCTCAAGAGATTCTCCCACTTCAGCCTCCTGAGTAGCTAGGACCACAGGCAATGCCACCCCACCCCACTAACTTTTAATTTTTTTGGAGAGATGAGGTCTTACTATGTTGCCCAGAGTGGTCTCTAATTCTTGGCCTCCCAAAGTGTTGAGATCACAGGTGTAAGCCACTGTGCCCTGCCCAGTATTCTCTGTGTCATGACTGGCTTTTCCCTTAGCATATACATAGTATCCTCAAGTTTCATTTATGTGGTAGCACATGTCAGAATTTCTTTCATTTCCAAAACCTGATAGTATTCCATTGTATGTATATAACAAATTTAATGTATTCATTTGGGTTACTTCCATCTTTTGGCTATAGTGAATAATGCTGCAATAAACATGGGCATACAGCTACTTTTTTTTAGATGTTTTTCATTCTTTTGGGTATACACTAAGAAGAGGAGTTGCTTGATCATACGGTGGTTCAATTTTTAATTATTTGAGGAACCGTTATACTGTTTTACATCATGGCTACACCATACCCACTAACATCTTACAAGTGTTCCAAGTTCTCCACATTCTGAACAACATTTGCAATGTTTCAGTTTTTTTCATAGTAGGCATCATAATTGGTTTGAGGTAGTATCTTGTGGTTTTGGTTTGCATGTACTCCACTTTTGGTGTTATATCCAAGAAATCATAGTCAAATCCAGTGTCATGAAATATTTCCCCTATGTTTTTTTCCAAAGAATTTTATAGTTCTATTTCTTACATTTAGGTCTTTGATCTATTTTGAATTAATTTTTATATATTGTATAAGATAAGGGTCTTAGTTCATCCTTTTACATGTAGATGATACAGTTTTCCCAGCACTGCTTGTTGAAAAGACTATCCTTTTTGGGCAGTGCCTGTGGTTCAGTGAGTAGGGCACCAGCCTCATATACTGAGGGTGGAAGGTTGGAACCTGGCCCCCACCAAACTGCAACAACAACAACAAAAATAGCCAGGCATTGTAGTGGGATATAGTAGCCTGTAGTCCCAGCTACTTGGGAAGTTGATGCAAGAGAATCGCCTAAGCCCAAGAGCTGGAAAAAAAAAAAAAAAAAAAAACTATCCTTTTTTCCATTGAATGGTTTTAGTATCCTTGTTGAAAATTTCTGACCAAATTCATGGGTATTCTTATTTCTTGGCTTGCTATTGTATTCCATGGGTCTGTCTTTATGCCAGTACCACATTGTTTTTAATGCTAAAGTTTTGTGGTAAGTTTTGTAATCAGGAAGTGTGAAATGCCAACTTTGTTCTTTTTCAAGATTGTTTTGGCTATTTGGGATTATTTGATAGTCCTTATAAATTTTTAGAATGGAATTTTTCTGTTTCTGAGAAATATCATTGGGATTTTTATAGAGATTGCATTGAATCTATAGATTAATTTGTGTAGTATTGACATCTTAAAAACATTAACTCTCATAATCCATGAACACAGGATATCTTTCCATTTAGTATTTGTGTGTCTAATTTCTTTCAATAATATTTTTTAATTTTCAGTGTACAAGACTTCTCCCTCCTTGGTTAAATTTATTCCTAGGAATTTCCTTCTTTTTGATGTTATTATAAGTGGATTTTTTTGAAATTTCCTTTCAGATTGTTCATTGTTAGTTTATCAAAACAAATTATTTTTGTGTGTTGATATGTTGATTTTATATCCTGCAATGTTGCTAAATTCATTTATTAGATATAACAGGCTTTTGGTGTATGGAATCTTTATGGCTTTCTACATATAAGATCATGCCATCTGAAAACATAATTTTACTTCTTCTTGTCCAGTTTGGATGCCTCGTATATCTTTCTCTTGCCTACTTATATAGGCCAGAAGAAGTGTTCCTTCTTGTATTCTATTTGGAAGAATTTGAGAAGGGTAGATACATGTCTTTCTCAAATATTTGATAGAATTCATCTGTGAAGCCATCTGGTTCTGAGATTTCCTTTGTTGGTAGGTTTTTGATTATTAATTAAACCTTTTTTACTTGTTGTACATCTATTAAGATTTTTTCTTTTTTCTTGACTCAGTTTAGGCAGTTTGTGTGTTTCTAGCAATTAGCCAATTTCATCTAGGTTTTTCTAATTTGTTGGCACATAATTCTTCATATTATTTTCTTATAATTCTTTCTAATTATGTAAGGTTTGTAGTAATGTCTCCATTTTAATTTCTGATACTGGTTATTTGTTTCTACCTTCCTTTCTTTCGCCCTTGTTCTCATCATTCCTTTCCTTTTGCTCCTTTCTTAGTCTAGCTAAATTTTATTGAGTTTTTCAAAGTCTCTCTTTTTGTTTTGTTGATTTTCTCTATTGCTTTATATTCCTTATTATGTTTATTTCTGTTTTAATTATTATTATTTCCTTCTGTTAACTTTGGTTTTAGATGCTATTAATTTGCTGGTACTTTAAGATGTAATAATTAGACCATTTATATTGAGATATTTACCCTTTTTAATTTTTTCCTCTTAATTTTTTATTAAATCATAACTGTGTACATTAATGCATTTATGGGTAAAATGTGCTGATTTTATATACAACTTGGCATGCTTACATTAAACTGGTTAACATAGCCTTCACCTTATCTCATTATTGTGTTAAGACATTTATACTCTACTCTTAACAGATTTAACATGTACCCTTGCAATATGTACCATAGGTGAGGCCCTACCAAATACCCTTTCTCCACCCAACCTTCCTTCTCCCCTTCCCCTCCTTTTCCCATCTTCATCCTGGATTATAAGCAAGCAGACAGCTCTCAGAATGGGAGAAGATATTTGCAGGTTTTGTTTCTGACAAAGGTTTGATAACTAGAATTTGATAACTAGAGAACTCAAACTTTTTTTTTTTTGAAACAGAGTTTTACTTTGTCACCCTCAGTAGAGTGCCATGGCGTCACAGCTCACAGCAACCTCCAGCTCTTGGGCTTAGGCAATTCTCTTGCCTCAGCCTCCCAAGTAGCTGGGACTATAGGTGCCCGCCACAACATCCATCTAAGAGATCTCAAACTTTTTAATAAGAAAAGAACAAGTGATCCAATTTTGTTGTGGGCAAGAGACCTGAATAGAAGCTTCTCTGAAGAAGACAGGTACATGGTCCACAGACAGATGAAGAAATGCTCATCATTTTTAATCATCAGAGAAATACAAATCAAAACCACTATGGGATATCATCTAACTCTAGTAAAAGTAGCTCACATAACAAAATCCCAAAACTCTAGATGTTGGCATGAATGTGGAGAAAAGGGAACATTTCTGCACTGTTGGTGGGAGTGCAACCTAATTCTTTCTCTTGGAAAGAATTTTGGAGAACATTTAGGGAACTAACAGTATCCCTGCCATTCGATCCTGCAATCCCTCTACTATGTATATATCCAGAAGACCATAAAACACTTTACAACAAAGATATTTGCACCAGAATGTTCATTGCAGCCCTAATCATAATTGCCAAGTCATGAAAGAAGCCTAAGTGCCCATAAACCCATGATTGGATTAACAAATTGTGGTATATGTATACCATGCAATATTATGCAGCCTTAGAAAAAGATGGAGACTTTTCTTCTTTTATGTTTACATGGACAAAAACACAACTATTTAACATTTTTTAATATAGGTGTTTACAACTATGAACTTTCCTCTGAGTTTTATTGCATCCCATAATTTCTGGCACAGTGAGTTTTTTTCATTCATCTCAAAGTATTTTCTAATTTTTCCTTTGATTTCTTGTTCGATTAATTGGTCAGGAGTATGTTTAATTTCTACATATTTGTGAATTTGTAGTTTTTATTATGTGTTAATCTTATCTTCATTCAATTGCAGTCAAAGAAGATACTTTATATGATTTCAACCAATTAAATTTATTGAGACTTGTCTTACAGCTTAATACATGGTCTATCCTAGAGAATAGACCATGTAAACATGGGAAGAACATACATTCTGCTGTTTTGGTGTGAACTGCTCTATATATGTATGGCACAGGAAACTGGTTTATTGTGTTGTTTAAATCTGTCATTTTCTTATTGATCATCTACTTAGTTGTTCTATCCATTATTTTAAGAAAATGAACTATTGCTGCATAGTATCCCATGGTATACATATAAAATAATTTATTAATCCATTCATGGGTCAATGGGTACTTGGGTTTATTCCAAGACTTGGCAATTATGAATTAAGCTGCAATGAACAATCTAGTGCAAATATCTTTGTTGCCAAGTGACTTTTGGTATTTTGGATATACACCTAGTAGAGGAATTGCAGGATCAAATGGCAGGTCTACATGTAAATCCCTGAGTATTCTCCAAACTTTTTTCCAAAAGGAATGTACTAGCTTGCATTGCCACCAGCAGTGCAGAAGTGTTCCCTTTCCTCCACATCCAAACCACAGTACTACTATAAAACTAATTTATAATCACTCACACTTTCATATGAGAGATGAATCACAACTATAGCCCAGGATTAAGAAGGAAGGGGAAGGAGATAATGAGGGAGGGGGGTAGTTCAGTAGAGGGAGGGTTAATGGTAAGACTACATCTATGGAGCATATTGCAAACGTACAAGTCAAATCTATCAATTACTGAAAACAAATGTCTTAATACTGTGGTTAAGTAAATGAAGTGAAAGATATTTTAATTACTAGGATGTAAGCACTCTAATTTGTACAAATAATCAACATAATGAATCCCACAAAGGCATAAATGTATTCACAATCTCTGTAGATATGACTTTTAAAAAATGAAGTATTGAAGTCTCCAACTATTATTGAAGAGCTGTGTATTTTTTTCTTAAATTCTGTCACATTTTTATTATTATATTTTGGGGCTCTCTTGTTAGGTGCTTATGTTTATAACTTTCACATATTCTTGGTAAATTGACACTTATATCCATATGTAATGTCCTTCTATTACCTCTTTCTTGAAGTTTCTTTTGTTTGATATTGCTATATAGGCACTCTTAACTCTGTTTTCATTACCATTTGTGTAGAATATCTTTTTCTAATCTTTCACTTTTGACTTATTTATATCTTTGGTTCTAAAGTTAGTCTTTTTAGACAGAATAAAGATAAATCATGATTTTTTTATCCATTTTGTAATCTCAGCCTTTTAATTGGATAATTTAACCCATTAATATTTCAAATAATTATTCTTTAGGAAGGAATCCTACTGTATTTTTTGTTTGAGACAGTTCACTTGGTCAAACTTGGTAGAGTGTCATGGTGTCTCACTTCACAGCAACCTCAAACTCCTGGGCTCAAGTGATTCTCTTGCCTCAGCCTCCCAGGCAGCTGGTACTACAGAAGCTTGACACATTGCCCAGCAATTTTTTAGAGATGGGATCTCTTTCTTGCTCAGGTTGGTCTCAAACATGTGAGCTCAGTAATCCACCTGCCTTGCCCTCCCAAGTGCTAGGATTACAGGTGTGAGTCACCGCGCCCGGCTTGTTTTGTTCTTTATTTTCTACATATTTTATATCTCATATGTTCATCAATTTCTGCCTTTCTTGGTGTTTAATTTTATTTTTCCTGTGTGCTATTTTGATTCCATGAAGGCAATAATTTAAACCTTATTTTTCCTAATGCTTAGAGGAAGTTAAAGTCTGTCATATTGTTTTTTTTTCCCCTACTTTGGAATCTATTCTAATTTAGAGTAGTTATTGATTATAAATGCCTGATCTTATCATGAATTCTTCCATGAACCCTTCCAAATGTTGCACAAAACATTTGGATCCAAGATAACACAGTTTGGAAATGTTCAATTTAATTATTGTATATTTTCTCAGAATTGTCTTCCAGCATCTTGCTTGGTAGTAAAATAATAGTTTCATAGAATTGAAGTAGTTGAGGCCTCAGAATCCAAGTAAGTTCTTGTTTTTCTAATTACATTACCAATGCTGTTAATAGTTTCCTAGTCTTCAAGATATTCAGGAGTGATGATTTCACAAACTCCTTCAATAGCCTATTGTATCCTTAATTCACCTATAAAAGTCCTCTTTTAAGTTTACCATGACTCTTTTGCAACAGAAGTTATTTGCTCTTTTTCTGGGGTCCTATTCATGCTTTATTGGTATTTTTCCCTTCCTCTGTTCTTAGCTTTTAAGAAGTAACCCATATTCTTACCTTGTGGTTTGGCTGCTGTGGAAGTGTAAAGATAGACTTCCAGTAGGTCCAGGCAAAGAACACAAAGATGGCATGGTAGAATATGAGGTAGATAACTGAAATTTAAAAAATAAACATATATATATATACCATGTTTATATTATCTTTTTATTCATTTCTAAGGATTCAAAAAGATGAAGCTCAATGACAAATTTTTATTTGTTTCTTTATTTCCCCATATTCTCTACTATTATTGTGAAATGTTAATTCTTACTATTTTGTCACACAATGACACAAACAAATCACAATGCTGACTCCTGAACCAAAGACTTCCTGAAAGTTTCATGTCCTAAAAGTTGCCATGTGATTCTGGAAGCAAAGGGGGGGGAATATCCTTTATATGACAATGTAGGGGAAGCTACTTTAGCCAATTTTCATTATCTATGCCAGTGTGAGTACTCAAAAGGTGAAGATGATATACTTTATACAGCATTTTAGAGTTTACAACATGTGTTCACATATATTATTTCATTTAATTTTCTCAATAACTTTGTGAGGTATGTATTAGGATGGAGACAGTTGACATGATTAGGAGTAGTTAATTGACTAAACTCTATTCTACTCTAAAGAGGAATTTAGTTTAGTTTAATTAATTAAACCTACCTACTCTATAGCGTTCCCAGGTATTAAACCCAGGACTTTCAACTCTACATACTAAGTTCTTTTCAATATCCCCAAAGACTACATACTTTTGAAGTGTGAGTTGTACTTTTGAGACAGTTGTACAAATAGCATTCTACTGCCTTTATTTTCATACTGTTAGCCTTTTAGCTCTTTTGAAATGGAGAATTTTGGTATTTTGCACAGAGGTAGGTATATGACTGAAAGTCAGTTTAGTCTTTCATTGTTAAATCCTTGAATGGTATGGTATTATTATTTTGATTCATGAGAAAGTCTCAAGAGAATGATGTGACATGACCAAAGTTAATAGGGCTGAGTCTTTCATACATTTATGGCTGAATTGAAAAACATTCTTCTCTCTTGGGCCAATGGTTTCAGAGCAACAGTATAAAATCTTTTAGATGTGCTTGAGTTTTGTAATTATGAAATCTTATCTTAAAATTCAAGCAACATAAGGTAAAAAAAAAAAAAAAGGTCCAATCCATGCATACATCTAACTTTCTATCTCCTCATCCTAAGGTGTAACATTTCACTGATGTTTGGTATGTATCATTCTGGATTTTATTTTATATGTTTATATAAATATATGTATACAATAAACCTGAAATTTGTATAATATTTTAAATTTTTATTGTATTTTTTTGAAAGTAATATATTCACAAAGTTAAAAATTTGATGGTATAGAATAGAATACACTGAACTCTCCCTCATGCCCCTGTCCCTCAGTTACTCAGTTACCCTACCTGGAAGCAACCAATGTCACAAGGCCATAACTTTATTGTGTATCTATTCAGATATTATACAAACAAAATCATCCACATAGAGTGTTTTCTCACACAGATAATAATATTCTATACTCACCATTTTATTTATTCTATTTCATTTATTGTAAGTTGGAAATCATTACACTTAATACTATGTATAACTTAGAGAGAGTGAACTTCCTCACTCTCCTTTTAAAAGGATACATGGGATTCCATTGCATGAATATATCATGGTTTATTTAACCAGACTGTCTATGATGGAAATTTAGTTTTTCCCATTTCTATTGCTACTACAAATATTGCTTCAATGAATAATTTGTATAAATATATTATCAGTACACATACAAAAAATAGCAGTAGGATCAATTCCCTGAAGTGGAACAGCAAGGCCAAATGGTATGCCTTTTGATAGATATTGTTAAATTGCCATTAAGAAAAGTTGTATTTAATTTACACTGTAATCAGGGGTGGAGCCAAGATGGCAGACTGCAGCCAGCTTTTTACAGAAGTTCCTGTCCAGAAAGAGGCTTAAAGGACAGAAGTTTAGCAAGGGAGCTGATGCTTTGGAGTGGAGCCAAGAGAGAAGATTGAAGAGCACACTTCAACCTTCCTGAGGCAAGCTGCGATCCCAAAAATACAACCAAAAGGTACAAAATCCTCCACCAACCAGATGGGAGTCCCCTCCCCCACAACAAGAACTCACAGTTTACTCCATGCAAACAGCAAGCAGAATTCAAACTTCTTCCCACTCTATCCCACGGGAGAGACCCCCTAAAAATTGGACCTCCTACCCCTGCTGGCATGACACGGCACATTCCTGCCAGGCATAAAACTGTAAAACTGTATAAAACTGTATATATTCCCTACCTACAACATTGAACTCTGAGGAGTCCCCACCCACCCATTCCGAGGTCTGGGGCTTTGTTACCTATGGAGTCCAGATTCATGGGCATCTCCTTGAGAGAAGTAAAGGGGGAAAGGGCTGGTGCTGCTCTGTGCTGACTGTGGCACAGGCATGAGGAGAAGAGAACTAGCCTGGAGGAAGCCAGTGTACAACAGTGGCATCCTGAGCTGCAAACTGACGCCATTCTAGGACCATCTCTCTGGGCAACCAGAGGTTCTGGACAGCAGCAATAGGCAGAACGTAAGTAAAGAGATGATTAACACCAGCCCTCAGGGTATAATACAGCTGAGACAAAGGCAGTGGGAGGGCAGAGGCTAGAACTGACACCTGAGTGTAAACTGCTATTTGTCTGCTGCCCAGAGCTGAATGCAGCCTCTGACTTGCAGAGGAATCTAGCCAGACAGAAGCACACAAAGCCCCCCTGCCGAACTCAGATTTCTGGCTGATTTTGCCAGTCGTGAACCCCAGGACCAGTTGCCTACAGGAGTGAATAGGGTCACAGACCTGGGGGATTACCAGTGACTGGGTGCAAGGTGAGGAAAGAGGTATTAACCTTCCCAGACTAACCCATCTGCTGAGTGGGTCCCTTTGCCATCACGGAGCACTAGAGCAAGCTATATCTGAGCTGCAAGTGGACCCCTCTTATCTAGCTTCCAGAAATGCTGCTGTTGCCATTCCTCCACCCCCTGGCTGCTCTGGTGGGGCTGAACTAGGACTGATCTAGCCGCTAGAGTTCCCCTTTTCTATCAGTTGCCCCGGCGGGACTGAACTAGGACTGATGCAGCTGCTGCCGGTCTCTTGCCCCCTGGTAGCCCTGGCAGGCTGAATGACGTCTAATCCAGTTATGAAAACTTCCATGTGGCTGCTGCCATTCCACTGCAGCCTGGTTGCCCCAGGACCCGAGAACTGGGAGAAGACTACAGACACGCTCTGCCTTTCTCTCTGGGCAACCAGAAGAAGCCACCAACTAAACAGTTCTGATAAGGCTTCTAAACAAGGTAAACTCAGAATGGGGCAGAATCAGCAGAAAAACTCTGGCAACTTGAATAACCAGAGTAGATCAACTCCCCCAAGGAATAATGGGGTAGATGCAATTGAAGACACCATCCATAAACAGATGGCTGAGATGTCAGAAATCGAGTTCAGAACGTGGATAGCAAATAAGATTAACAGAATGGAAGAAAGGAAGATATTAGAAGTTCAAGAAATTATTAAAAAGATGTCTCAAGAATTCAATGATTTCAAAGATAATATGATCAAATATTTTGAAACACTGAGACAAGAGGTTGCAGTCCTCAAGTATCTGAAAGATACGGTGGAAACTCTCCGTAATAGAGTAGAACAGGCAGGAGAAAGGATCTCTTATTTTGAAGAAGCCCAGGAGAGCAAAGATCAAAAGAAATGGAGAGCAAAAACGGATCTCACTCTCAGAGAGCTCTGGGATAATTCAAAGAAAACTAATATTTGCCTTATAGGAATCCCTGAAGGTGATGAAGTTGCGTCACAAAAAACAGAGGCTCTTCTTCATGAAATTATGAAAGAGAACTTTCCAGACATGCCAAGAGATTCTGAAATTCAGATAGTAGATAGTTTCAGAACCACAGCACAACTCAATCTGAACAAGACATCCCCCAGACACATCATAATTAACTTCCCCAAAGTTAAGATGAAAGATAAAAGTCTGAAAGCAGTCAGACGTAAGAAAACAATAACCTACAAGGGGAAGAGTATTAGGATGACTGCAGATCTCTTGGCTGAAACCTTTTAGGCATGAAGAGGGTGGTCATCAACTTTTAATCTCCTAAAACAAAATAATTTTCAACCCAGGATCCTGCATCCAGCTAAACTGACTTTCATGTATGATGGAGAAATTAAATACGTTAATGACCTCCACATGTTAAAGAAATTTGCCATAACTAAACAGCTCTCCAGGAAATTCTCAAACCTATCCTCCATAATGACCAGTGCAATCCTCCAACACAAAAGGAAACCAACTCAGAAACTTTTGATCACATTCCA